GGCTCGGAGGCGGCGTTTTGTGTCGCAGCGTGAGGGAAAGCCTGGCCGGGAAGCGTGCGCTCGAGGGTGGTGAAGGGAAATAAGTACAATTCCAGCGTTTCCTCGCCATTTCCCCCTCCCTCATCGCCGACGGGGGACCCGGCGCGCCCCGCCGCAGCTCCTCAGAGCGGGGGGGGGGCTGAGGAAAAGAGGCTCAAGTGCCGCCGTAAGGCTTTCTGCCGGTTCGTCCTGAGGGGAGCGCGTTGGCTGCCCGGCCGAGGCAGGCGTAAGACAGCGTCTGGCTAAACAGAAAAAGCATTTTTATCCGTAGCCGGTCACGAAAATGTCAGCAGAGGCCTTGCGGAACTGCTGCGAAACTTAGGCGCCCGCTAAAGTTGGTCGGCTTTCACTCTTTACAAAATAAAACGCAAGGCTTTATTATAGCTAGCGGGATGCTCTGCATAAAAGTTGATAAACGCAGGGGTTTTTTGGAAGCAAGTTAACAATTGCATAGTGAAGCCTGCTTGCTTATTAAAAGGCCAAAAACATAATTCCCTGTAATGGAAAGGCTCTAATGTGTAGATTAATACAATGTCATTTATATGCCTGTGTTACATCCCAAGCAGTAAGATTTATTTGAAACCCGTCGCCAGGTCTCGGACAAAGGTAGTGAACGTTACTCCTAACGAAGCTTATTCCGAGGGTAACTCCAGCCATGTCGACTGGCTCACACAAGGGATTAATTTGGCCAGTTTTGCTTTCCCTCTTTAAATTGGAAGGTCAAAAATAAATACATTGTGTCTACACATCTGGTGTGCAAGAGTTTTAATTTAGGAGGCTGGAGCTTTGTTCTCTGCAACTGCCTGTGACAACTTCCAGCTTCTTTCATTCTCAGCGTGCATCTCAGGGGCTCTGCTTTTGGGCGATACCCGGCTGAGCATCGAAGGCATTAACCCTCTGGGACTATGCCATCTAATTTAGAAAGTGTGTTCCTGTGATTAATTCACGTAAATAAGCCAAAGCCCCTGTTGGTGTTGTTCAGCACTGCTCCCTGATGCTAAGGCTCGGGTGGAAAACAAACACAACTTTGAGCTGCTGTGTGAAACATGGTGTGTCTTCAGGCAGAGACCGCAAAAGATCAGACGAGCTCTTCTTGTATTCTTGAAACGAGTCTTTTTCTGTCACTGAAATCAGTAACAAAAGTCCTATGGGAGCTTCTGTAAGGATACTCATATGCAGTGGGAGGGTATATATTGCCATGAACTGTGGAGAAAATGAAATTGGGAAACTCTGTGACCTCCATTTCTCCTCTCCCAGTGATTTAAGCGTTAGTAACCTGGTCATTTTTGTGTTAAATGTCCCTATTAGATGGTTTCCCAACAACCTCAATAAAAGAGACTCGCAAAAATACATATGACAGTGTAACATGAAACCATCTCGCAAATTAGAGTTAAAACTGAGTGATTCAGTTTGCTTATTAAGTCGGCTACCTCACATGAGCAGATGTAAAAACCAAAAGAAAGACCTGCTTTCAAAGAACAAGTAGCCTGGTGGTAAAACCACAAGCTTGGGATGTGGGAAACCCACATTCCCATCTGTGGTGTGAAAGAGGCAAGGAAAGGATTCGAATGCAGATGTTCGGTAACTGAGGTAAACGCCCTGATCAGCAATTTTAGGATAGCCGGATCTCACTTTCGTATTTTGCCCCCCCTAGGAAAACTGGTTGAGTGTTGTGGTTCTTCCTAATGCAGTGGGAAAACGCCTGTGTAACAGGAAAACTTGTCCAGTTCTGCACATAATGCTGGTGTTCCACAAACAGCTTTGATGGTTTGTTCTCATCTACAGGGCTTTGTGTAAGGAGAAGCTGTTCATCTTTAAACCCACACAGTCACAGCTGGGATCAGAAGAATATCCGGAGAGCAGCTGCCTTTGGTAGAACCTTCTCTGTGAAAACTTCAGGTCCCGATGACGGCCTGAATCGTTGTATCTCCATACGATCTCAATGAAATGTGCAAACAATCATTTTGCATATCGTTGGGACGGAAAATGAATTGTTAGGATTCCGGAAAAAGCAGAATGCAAAGCTTGATTTTTTTCTTTTTTGTGCAGAATTTGTTTATAAATGTCTATTATAAAATTGCTGTTTGCTTTAATTAAATTTTGTTTAGAAATATCTTCTCAGGCTTATGTGTGAAGTGGTTTGAAAACAAGCTGAAATAAATGAGCTGATCAAAAATACTAAGTGCCAACCCATAGACTGAATTGATAAGAAAGCTGGTAAACAGTCAGCACAAGCGACGCAAAACCTCCTAGATTTTGCAGAAGTGCTGTTCTATGAGTTACCGACTTTGTTTTAGTGATTGTTTCTCCAGTGCAATTTGCACGGAGAATTCTGAATGCAGGCAAAGAAGATGCACGTCCTCAAATCCCAAAACACTTCAGTGTGCTGGAGCGAAATACTTTTGTTAAGTTAAAGCGTATTCATCAATTCAAAGGCTTCTTCACATTTGCATTAAAATAGTCCAGTCCCCATCTTCTGGATCCTCTGTGGATACGGATCTTTGAGGGCAAATCACCAGTCACAGCTCCTTACTCTGACAAGATGCTTCCCTTATGGTATCAAGCACTAGGCCAAGTATAATCCCGTCAGCCACGTATTTACGCCTCTCAGATTTGCCCAATCCTAAACATTATACAATAAATTCAGCGACATTTTAACTTTGAGAATATATGAGCGTTCACCACCCGTCAGAGGTTGCGAGGTGGGGGGAGGAAATGTAAAATACAGCTCCAGCCTCAAGATAAATGGTAAGCTTTCCCTGTTAACAGAGTGTCAGACAAGCTGAGACAAGAGTTAATTTTCCTGTGGCTTTTCCTGGCATTGAACTCTATGCAAAGCAGATGCAAAGCCAATGTAGAGTTACTTCAGAAAGGTAAGTGGGTTTGTGCAACTTCAAGTTTGCCTGCCGTGAATTAGCAATATTAGTAAAGAGAATTTTTCTGTCACACATAGATAGGCCAAGGGTCCCTGGCCCATACGGCCAGTACTGATGGATAGGTTGTCAGATAAGCACCAATATAGATTCAGTCCTGGCCATGCATAAGCACACGGTTATGCTTCAGTTGGTTTAGCCAGAGGCCACAATACTGGCATT